TGTCTTAGTTATAAACTAAGATGTTTTTAAAGGTAACGTCTTTGGTTATAAAACGATTTTAATCCTATTTGTTATAACTTGTGTGTTGCACAGTTATTGCTTTACAACTTAGAGCCATGACCAATGTCTACTGAGGAACCAGCTATGCGAACGCACGATGAAAACATTTGTTTTGTTACGTGAAACATGATTCACATGAGTCAAGTCTCAAGTATGCACTATTCATAATTGATGAAGATAATTTTAATGCTTTTAATATCTTCTATAATAGAGCATTGTACTTATTGCAGCAATAAATGTAATTCGCGTATATTCGAAGGTCAAAGGAAGGCCAAATATATTGTTAAGCATTTTTTATAGTGCTATTACTGACTGAAGTGTCCATTAAAAGTAAAATGAAACAAATTCCTAAATAATGACGTAAATAATACACTTTCCATCTTTGAGCCACTCGAGCATTGTATCGGTGTGCGTTGTGGTCTGTGTTCCCATTTACCGCTGTCGAAGTAAAAGGTGTGTTAACAAGCACTAGCGACGAATCGGTGAAATAAGTATCTATTATGTTATATTGATGATGATTTTCATTATAATAACGTAATAGGTACGTATATAGATAAATAAAAAATATAGCAAAAGACCTATTATGTTTTTGTTATTTATAAATTCCATCTCCACAGTTTTGGATTGTTCGTATTATCTGTATGTGAACTATCTTCAGCTCCGACAAAAATAGATTTAATTTTGTTATACAAAAACTAAATAATAACCTTGAAGCTATTTGAGAACGGTCGCGCAGAACAGATATGGTGTTTCAGTTAATCCAGCCAAATGTAAAGTAATGTTTGGAAGTTCGCAATTATTTAAGTGTTTATGGAAGTATATCTCCAATTTTTTATAGTGGAATTTTGAATGCATTTTGTGATTCTATAAAAAAAACCTTGGCTTAAAACATTGATAAAACAATGACCTGTCAAATTACATATCTCTGAAGTAAGTCATAAAGTTGTATTGCCAATTTGCGTTGCGTTCACTCTATCGTCTTAAAAATTTCCTATCTTTCAAAACTAAGCTCAAGATGGTCCTTCCCTCCACCAATTATCGATTATGTAGATCTGTGTAACCCAGATTTGACAAAAAATTTTCTAAATAAGTTGGAGCGCCTTCTTAATAATTCCATTAGGTTTTATTTTCGGTTTATGTAAGTATGACCGCATATGTTCCTATCGTTGAAATCGTCGGAATTAGGAAGTTTTGTTTCTTCTGCATATCAATGATATGTTGCTAACTGGTAACATTCATTGCTATGCGGATGACAGCACTGGTGATGCTTTATACACCGGCCGTGCCAATATTTCTCGGGAAAGCGTCGCTGAGTACCGAAACAAACTTGTGTCTGAAGTCGAGTCTTTGCTGAACAAAGTCTCGGATTGGGGGCGACTAAATTTAGTCCAGTTTAATCCTCAGAAGGCACAAGTTTGCACGTTTACCCCTAAAAAGAACCCCTTTGTCGTATCTCCTCAGTTTCAAGGCACTCCCCTTCTTGCCTCAGCCAGTATCGGAATCCTCGGAGTCCACATATCGAGTGACGTGCAGTTTCGTGGTCACTTGGAAGAGAAAGCCAAATTGGCCTCTAAAAAGCTTGGCGTGGTCAGCAGAGCGGGACAGTATTCCATGCCGGCACACCGCCTGCAACTTTACAAGGCGCAGGTTCAGCCTCACATACTGTTCCCATCTCTGGGCAGAGGCTCCCCAGTGCCAGCTCCTTCCACTTGACCGCATCCAGCGCAGAGCGGCTCGAATCGTCGACGACTGAGTCCTTTCCGATCGACTCGATTCATTGGCACTGCGAAGAGATGTTGCATTCCTTTGCATTTTCTTTCGCATCTACCACGGGGAGTGCTCTGAGGAATTGTTCGGATTAATCCCAGCCGCCAAATTTCACGAACGCACATCGCGGCAGAACTCCCGATACCATCCACACCATCTGGATGATTGGCGGTCCACCACTGTGCGATTTAGAAGATGTTTTCTTCCTCGCATAACTTCCTCGTGGAATAGTTTACCACCAGCGATTTTTCCGGACCGATACGACTTAGGGACCTTCAAGAAAAGAGCCTACTCCTTTTATAAAGGCCGGCATCGCATCTGCAATTCCCCTGGTGTTGCGGTTGTTCATGGGCGGCGGTAGTCACTTACCATCAGGTGAGCCGCATGCTCGTTTGCCCACTCTCCTATAAAAAAAATCTTATATGTGGCACTTTAATACGATTTTAGGGTTATTAGTAATGTAGGGTTTTATTTATATTGTTCTTTTTCTCAAATATAAGTAGCCGAAGTTACTCCTCAAAACATCAGCTATCTGCCAGTGAAAGTCAGACACCCCGAGCATAGCCCTCTCCATAGCGCGCTGAGCGACCTTGAGCTTACTCATACGGCCAGCAGTGAAGGACCACGTCTCAGATCCGTAAGTCATCACTGGCAACACGCACTGGTTGTACAATTTCGTTTTCAGGTTTTGAGGTATGTCTAACGAGAAGATATGTCGTAGTTTCCCGAACGCTGACCAGCCGAGTTGAATCCGTCGATTGACATCTCGGTCGAAGTCAGACTTACCTAGTCGGACTATTTGTCCCAGATAAACATACTCATCAATAACTTCGAGCTTAGTGCTCCCAACAACTACCGGCATAGGTGTGACATGTACGTTAAACATGATTTTTGTTTTGTCCATGTCCATCTTAAGATCTATCCGTTGGAAGACACTATTGAGGTCATTGAGCATAGTGCTTAGGTCCTCCAGCGATTCTGCCATAAGGACTACATCGTCGGCAAATCGAAGGCGAGTGATGTACTCGCCATTGATGTTAATACCGTATCCTTTCCAGTCCAGTAGCTTGAAAACGTCTTCCAATGCAGCGAGGAAGAGATTCGGGGATATAACGTCACCCTGTCTACACCTCCCTGCAGTTGGATAGGTTTCGTTCTCTTCTCTAGTTCTGTACTCAGATAGCTATCGTAGCCCTACGGTACAAACACTTCAGCATCTCGATATACCGACAGTCAACTTGGCACCGCTGAAGGGACTGCAGCACCGCCCAAATTTCGACGGAATCAAACTGACGTCCGGGATATCTTCGGAATAGTGTCGGATAAGACTCGCTCTTGGATCGTTACTCACACTTGCGTGTGGCTCCAACGATGACGTTTACAGCTGCCCATAGAACCTCTCAATCTCACTCAAAATCTCAGGTGTCCCGGAAACGATGCTGCCACACTCGGTCTCCAGCTTTTACAGTTGGCTCCTTCTGGCAGACAGATCTCTGGCAAAGACTTTGGAGCCTTGGATCCGCTCGATCCCTTCTTCAATACAAGCTGTATTGAAGTTGCGCAAGTCCCGCCGCATGCATTTGGAGACCGGTCTCTTCAGTTGCCTGTATGCTGACAAATCTGTTGAAGAATGTAGCTTCCTCTCCCGTCTAACAGCTATGAGATTAAGAGTGTGATCGGATAGTTTTTGTGTTTCTCTGCGGCGGGTCTTACAGAACTTAGCTCCGACCACATGGACAGTTTCCACGAGCTTGTAATTCATATCGTCCACTTCATTGCAGTCTTCTAGGCACTGAAAACGGTTTTATAACTCGAGCTGAAAGGTTTCGGGACTTTGGAACAGAGCACGAGTGGGATGGAGCGTTGACTTCATTAGACGAGACCTCTCCAACTTAACATTTAGGTTCAGTGTGCTTCTAACCATTAGGTGATCGCTACCAGTTTTCACCCTCGCGATCACGGAGACATCTCTGAACAGTTGTCGTCTGGTCGTCATAATGGAGTCAATCTCATTTTTTGTCGAACCCTCGGGGCTTGACCAGGTCCACTTCCTGTGGGGACGCTTCTAGAAGTAAGAGTTCATCATAAAGAGTCCCTCTTTTTACCATGAAGTCGGCCGGCTGCTGGCCCCTTGGGTTCCGTTGCCCTATTCCGAAATTCCCTTCTTTCAGCTCACCGTTCTCTCTTGTGCCTAGTTTTGCATTGAAGTCTCCCTTTTCTACTTGGTAGGGCCATGCTGCAGGTATATTATGGTTGTAACACGAATGGGTCGGCTCGACCGGGGAAGGACCACGCTCTCACAGAAAACCAGCGTAAAATAGCAGCTTAACGCTGCTGTGTTTCGTATGGTGAGTGTAGAGAACCGGAGACCCTTTTTACTGGCAAAGAGGCATTCCATCTTAGTCCTCACGGGTGACAACGCATCTGCATCTTGAGTCTTTATTGAGGATAGATGTAGATGTCTATGGGTCACAGTAACCACTTACCATCAGGTGGACTGTGTGCTCGTTTGTCACCCGATCCTATAAAAAAAAATTATCACAGTATAGGGGGTTTTGGAGGAATGCATGGCTCTAGAGATATCCTCATACATTTCCTCCACCTCCTCATGGGGATGTGCCGAGATTGGTGCGTAAACCTGTATGATCTTCAGCGAATACCGTTTGGTGATTCTGAGTATAAGGTATGCAACCCTCATCGACACACTCTCAATCTTTACAACTTTGTTAACGAGAGACTTGTGGACGATAAATCCGACACCTCCTTGAGACAGATGATCGCCCTCCCGGTGATAGAGCAAGTTGCCGGATTCGAGAATTACCGTGTCCTCCCCCTCTCTTCGGACTTCGGATAATCCTATAATATGCCAGCGTAACTTGTCTATTTCTTCTTCCTGCTCCACGATCTTCTCGTCAGTCCTCAGGGTGCGTGCGTTGTATGTTGCCAGCTCGAATATTCTTAGGTGCTTAGGTTGTTGCTCTAATCATTGGGGGGTATTTGCCATAGTTGCCACGCTTGGCGAGCGGGTTGGCAACCGCAGATTTTTTATTGTACTTTTAGGCCGGCTCCACACGTTGGTCCCAACGCTCGTACCAACGTTGGACTGCGAGTTCGGTGAGGCGTACACACGTTGGCTAATAAACTAGTTCTGTCCCGTCAGGGCCAATGTGAAGATGTCCGATACAGAAATCGAAACTGCTCTGAGCGCTTTTATAGTACTGAGTGCACATTTATATTTGTTACTGAGAAAAAATAAAAAGCCACGTCAAAGAAGATGGTGGATGACGACACATCATAAAACACGGAATCAGTGAGTAAAGATCTTGTTATACACTCCATTTTAAATATTCTAATAACATCAACAACAAACTATAATTATATCAGCAGTTGTTTACAGGAGCTGTAATATTAAATTTCTTTTTGATTCTATATTTACATTTTCTTTCTTTTTTAGGTATGATGGAACCCGATTATTGAGTAATTTGATTCAAGAGCCATCAGGACAGTTTGATAACTTTTGTCGTATGTCTTCGATAGATTTCGAATACCTTCTACAGTTGATTGGACCAAGAATAAAAAAGCAAGATACAGTATTCAGAGACTCAATACCAACCAAAGTACGCCTTGCTGTGACACTTAGATTTTTAGCGACTGGTGATTCATTCAAAAGTCTTCATTACCTATTTAAGATTTCTCCTCAAGTCATATCGTTGATCGTGCCGGAAGTATGTAAAGCACTATGTGAGGCATTGCGTTCTTTTGTAAAAGTAAGTATTTTTGTATATTTTGTAAAATAAAACCATAATAATAATAATCAAAAACACGTTTATTGAAAAAAATAATTAGAGAAAGCAATCGAGTCCTTGCATTAGCATTCAATTCTTATTTTGTATCTGAGAAAGAGTAAATGCCTGAGAGATAATATCATTTGATATAATTGTCACCTTTGGAGTAGATGTGGTGGAGGTGGATGAACCTGTCACATATTCTACTTGGCTATGATTTGGTGATACAACTGTATAATCACTATAATCATCAGCAACGTGATATGACGGGCTTGGCATCACTTGAGGCGAAGGGGATGTTATAGGTGCATAACGTACGGAATCTCGGGTAGACATATCGTACGCCAACATTTGTGATGAAGGGGACGGTGTAGGTGTAAAACGCACGGAATCCGGGGTAGACCTTACGTACGAGTAAGTGCTGCTACGAGCAGGGCTATTAATATTTAAGTAAGAGTCATTTCGCTTCTGATAAATAAGTTCGTCTATATCGTGCATTATAACCTCCCTTTGTTGCTCATTAAATTTTTAAATTTTTTTGGCCAGTAGTTGACAGTATAAATCTACCTCGTCCACTTCAGTTCGTGGTCGGTCGGAGAGATTTTTTAGGACATTTACAGCTGTCTTAATCTGAGCTCGTAATTCCGTGACTTCTGATTCTCGCCGTTTTTTGGCTGACGTGGAACTTCTATTTTGAATGCTGCCTTCATTAGAAAAGCTTCTATCTTGATTGCTGTCTTCATTAGGAAACTCCATAGTCTAAAAATTCAAACACAACAAGTAAATTTCAACCCTTATTTAAATTATTAACTATTACCTACACTGATATTTTTTTTTGTTTTAGATGCCACAAAATGAACACGAGTGGCTTGAGATTGCTCGAGAATTTGAAATAAAATGGCAATTTCCACATTGTTTGGGCGCTATCGATGGGAAACACATTAAAATACAGTCACCCATTAATAGTGGATCAGAGTTCTATAACTATAAACACAATTTCAGTATAATATTACTAGCGGTAGCTGATAGTGACTACAACTTTTTATTTGCTGACGTAGGAACACATGGACGTATGAGTGACGGTGGAGTTTTTAATGATAGCATGCTTTATAACAAAATATATGGACCTGATTCCTTTTTTCCGCAAGACGCTCCTTTACCTGATCGACATCTTCCTGTGCCCTATGTTTTTGTGGCAGATGGAGCTTTTGCATTATCTAAAAGGATCATGAAACCTTTTCCTGGTACACCGCCAGTTGGCTCACAAAATAGAAAATTCAACAGTCGACTATCAAGGGCTCGTGTTGTGATTGAATGTGCATTTGGAATAATGACATCGGTATTTGGAGTGTTAAAAACCAATATATTACTACAACCCGAAAAAGCATCTATTATAACACTCACTTGCGTTGTACTTCATAATTTTTTGAAAAAGAGCCAGCACTCCTACCGTATGTATATGCCGGAAGGTAATATAGATAATGTTTTAGAAGAGCAACAATTAAGATCACTAGATCAAGTACCAATTAGAACAACAGAAAATGCTAGAGAAATACGTAATGAATATGCATCATACTTTTATTCACACTAAATAAAAAATCTACCGACCTACAAAATTATTATGTAGATTTAGGTACACAGAGCCACAGGTCAGATGTATCTATGTAACAGTTGCACTACGAAAACATCTTTTAATACGTAGGGCATAAAGGCGCGCTCAAGGTCATCATGTTACGTCTAGCCTGTGGTTCAGTGTACCTACCTACCCAGGTTATTTTTTCGAAATAAACAACTAAGTGCTTTAGATTAAGTATGTAATTTGTCACAGTTTGTGATTTTATCTATGTAAATAAATAAAGTAAAAATTAATCAATGTTTATCTTACCTCTGTGTTAATAGTAACTGTATCTGATTTATCATAAATCGGAGCAAGAAACCTATCCATGAGCTCATAAGCGAACCAATTTGGTTTAAAAATATCATCTGTTGATGATCCAGATCGAGTAGAGTCACTAATTTTCTATCTGTAAAGGCGATATGTGCTCATTAATGATTCTCGCTTTTTTTTTAAATCTTCAATTGAGAAATTCATTCCCATATTCTGTTGAATGGTGCGCCATGCATCAGCTAATAAATTTTTATTCTTATGATCCTTTCGAGTTGCGTCCCATATTATTGGATGTGCTTGATAAAGTTCAATAAATTCTATGACTTTTTCAATCGTCCATTCCGGTGGCGATTTTGTGGATGAGGAAGCCATTCTCGCTCGATGTACGCACTTGCTGCGTGTTGCAACAGAACTGAGCAAAGTGCCAACGTGTGGACAGATCGCGAGCGTTGGCGCAGATTCCTTTGATGAAACCGACTCGAGCCGGCCAACTACCAACGCTCGCCCCAACGTTGGGACCAATGCCATTTTCTAGATCCACACGTTGGACGAGTAGCGTTGGGACCTATATTGGGGCCAACGTGTGGAGCCGGGGTTACTGTTATCCCATCTCCTGCCTGTTTCCCTTTGTCGCCTTTTACGACACCCACGGGAAGGTATGGGGTAGTGGATATACTTAACCGCCACTACACGGCAATCATATCTACTGATACTAAATACAGATTACTTTTTTATTTCTTTTTCTAATATAAAAATAGCAGTTTTGTAAAAATATTTTAATTTAGAAATTCAGAAGAGAAATATAGGTACAAATTTTCAAAATTTCAAAACTCCATTTCTCAATTACGGCAACTATAACAATATACCAGGTTGCCTTGCTTATCAGATGTGGATAAACTGCGGCAGCTATTTGTAATTTTGAGTAGTTGTCAGTAAGAGTTGTTATCAGGTAGCTCAGTTTTAGTTTTCCTCTATCACCACTTAAGGCGATACCCGATCAAAACCTTGCGATAGTGAGTTTTTCTTCATTATTCGGAGACTGTTATCTCATTAGTTATGAAATTTAAACTACACCTAATAACAAGAGTCCCACGTACATACCACCTATCAGACTCTACAACACTGCTTTATCGAAGGTATCACAATTCATATACTTGGGACACTAAGTGACCGAGGATTTGCGTGATGAAATGAACATGGAGAGGGAGCGTAGGGCTTTAGCGACCCGGAGTAATATGTTAGCCCGTAGGTTTGCACGATGCAGTAATGCCGTTAAAATAACTCTATTTAAGGCATACTGCCAGTCTTTCTATTCGTGGTCCCTTTGGGTCAACTACACACAAAGGGCGTATAAAGCATTAAAGGTGCAATATAACAATTCATTTAGAGTTCTTTTGGGGCTGCCCCGCTACTGCAGCGCTTCAGGCATGTTCTGTGAGGCCCGCACTGACGGGTTTGACGCGATAATGTGCAAAAAGCCGCATCGCTACTAAGCAGAACAAGGAATAGCTCCAACATTATCCTGGGTGTTATAGCACAAAAACATGACTGTCCTATAATAAGGCAAATTATTAAGGTCCTGACTAAAATTATTGATTACATGCATCTATTGCAAAAGGCAACGCTGTATTCATTTGAGGATTACACTAATGGATAGATAATTTAAAAATCAATATTATTCACGTTTTATTTAATTTTTAAAGTTCGCTTTTCTTTTTTAATTAAAATTAATTCCAAAAATTGTGTGAATTCTATGATAAATAGGCGTACGCAGGGTGCGGGCGGCAGTGCACTACATGCTCAAGGTTATTTGTTCAGGGAAACGCCTTAAGACACCCATGGGACTATTATTAGTATATTGTTATACCGCCACAACACGTTGATAGATGAAATTATAATGTATTAAAAAAACAATGTTACATAATAAACCACAGATAAAGTAAATTATGCGCTCGTTGATGTTTTTAAAAAAAATACAGTTTCAATCTGCGACACAAAGACAAACAAAACAATAAGAATCCATCACTCCATATCGTCCCACGGGTGTCGTAAGAGGCGAAAAGGGAATAAAACAAGGGTTGGAAAAAATTCTTATGTGCAAAGCATCATATTGTGATTATTACGCCGCCGCTTCCATACATATGTCGAGTACTAAAAATGAACTAAAACAAAATAACACTCGTATGGTTCAAATATCAGCGTGCTTGATTCTTAAATGTTGGGGTCCAGAGTTCAAATTCCCGTCTTAATATAACTTTTATTCATATTATACGAGAACTGCTGAATTTCGGGGTCTAATGAAGGTACTTCTTTCGGATTTGAATGTAATTTACTTCTGACTTCATTAGCGGAAAGCGAGGACGTTGATATCGCTTCTGTCAGAAATTTTCAAGATTGTCATCATCACGGTAAACAATTAAACTAATGATAAAGTTATATTAACAGGGACAAACTATATACTAGGGGTTATGCCAGCTCTTTCTATAATGATGCCTTTTATTCAAATATTCTAGGAACAGCAATCAATGAACTATTTAAAGGCGTAATTTAAGGTCTAAATGGAGTTAAAGGAGTAAAATAAATACCGAACTTTTGATAATGACATATAACTAACGCTGTGGACAACGAAGAGTTTCCATTGGAAGCCCGTGTAAATTTGAGATAGTCCTTTGTGCAGTATTTGGATTAGTATTGTTGATGCGAAAAATAACTATTTACAAGCCTCGATACAATTTGGCCTGTGAACCAAGCAGCTACCAAGCAGTTTATGTAATAGATTAAAATACACTGTAATGAATAACGACTATACTGGTCCACTAAGCAGTGCGCTTGTGGTATAGCTTATCTGCCTCCAGTGGATCCAAACACGTTCTGACAATCGTTTCTGATTATAGTGCAAGATTTACTTTCCATCATAATTGACTATCGATTTCAGTATCCTCTTATTTATGGCAAATTTCGACGCGTGATCAAGAGAGTAAGAGCCGTGGTAGCTCAGATGGTTAGCGCTCGACCCGGGTTCGAGCCCCGCCGGCACCAATGAAATTGTTAATTGTGTGCTGATTTACCACGTGCTCGGCTGTGAAGGAAAACATCGTGAGGAAACTGCATGTCTGAGAAATAAGAAAAAAATATGTCGAAGACATGTGAAGTTCGCCAACACGCATTGGGGCAGCGCGGTGGACATTTCCTTGCCTTAAAACCCTCTCAGAAATGAGAGGAGGCCTGTGCCCAGGAGTGGGGCGTAAATAGGCTGCAACTTTATATAAACAACTGAATGCTGTTGTTGGCATTAATTTGAATATGGAATTCGAATCGACTGCAAGGTTAAGCATTTTAAACCAGTCAGTCTTGTAAGAAAAATATTATTGAAAAAATACCAACGTAATACATACTTATATTTGTATATTTATATAAGTGATATCATTAGTGTAATTAATTATGGCTATACTTCCTTAAAACCACCAAGAGTTTTATTTACCTGAACGAGATATTATTAGTGGCATATTTCTGCTGGTACGAATGTGTTACGTGCTCTTCGGTCTGCCTTTGTCAATTGTTATAGTGAGTCAAAAAATATGTGATCTACAAAAAGGTATTCCATTGTAATTTGAAGCGAAAGACAAGAACAAAACCAACAATCAACTCTCAGCAGACTTCAAATTCTCTTCATTGTCATATTTATCTGAAAGCATTCTCTTCATAAATTTCACCTTGCCAAGTTTAAAAAGAGTTTAACACTAGTAAGTCAATCAGGTAGACACTACCAAAAACCTATAGCTTTCATTTGAAAATAGCCTTAGCGGCAATCATACGAAAAATGATTTTCAAAAATGTTAATAAATTTAATCATTAATCCGTAACATGCTCACTTAGATCTTGCTAAAGATAAAATTAATCTCAAAAAACAGGGGAGAGTGTTCATCGACATCTCAGCTGCGACTGGCGAGGGGCGAGCAGCAGGGGTCGGAATGCATCGACCCAACCGCCAACGTAATCTTTACAGAGGGTTAGGCGAGATAAGTTCGGTATTTCACTACTATATTTATTTATACCTTCACATACATATTTTAAATTAAAGCCATCAAATCACCAGCGTAGCCTCAACCGGCGGGTAAGGATTACCAATGTTGATTTTCTTTAATAGAATGAGGGTGACAAACAAGCATACAGTACACCTGATGGAAAGTGAATGCTGAGGCCTAAAGACATTTGAATCTATTATTGATTAAAAACCAAAATGCAGATGCGTTGTTACCCCGCGAGGACCAAGATAGAATGTCTCGCTTATAGTAAAAAGGTGTCTCCGGTTCTCTATAGTACACACTCGCCATAGGAAACAAAGCAAAACTAATGTGTTATTTTACTGTGAGAACGTAGTCCTCTCCGGTCGAGCCGACCCATTCTTGCAACAACCATATTATTGCTGCAGTTTAGTCTACTAGTCTACCACGAAATTTTATCAACGGATACACGTCCGGTAACTTTTAATTTTTAATAGGTTTTGTATTTTTAAAAGCCTTACAACTGTTGTTGTTTTATGTACGACAAAACGTTTGCGATGTGAACGCGTCGTAAAGGCGGAATCAGACGGTTAATTTTTCGTTCATTTACGTCTTTTATTCGGCAACTTTCATTGAAAATGAAACGTTTAAACACGGAATGAAAGAAAAGTGCTGAATGAATTCATTATTGAATCGATC